AGTGGCATAACACTTCTAGGTCAGCAGAGTTGTGTCTCCTCAGCAGCTCAGACTTCACTGAGGCTAGTGCGTCTCTGTCTGCAGTAGCCAAGACTAGGTCGTCTACGTAGACTAGGATGCATAACGGAGTCTGGCCTGAGCGAACGAAGAGTGAAGTGTCTACAGATGATGGGAAAAACTGCAGGTCAGCTAACGTAGCACGCAACATGTTGCGCCACTCCCGGGTTGCCTGACGCAGGCTGTAAACCGGGCACCAAAGGAGCCACTCAGTCTATGGAGGGAAAGAGCCATAGAAGCCTGGCAGATGGCGAAGGTAGACCTGCTCATGCAGACAGCCCTGGAGAAACGCTGTGGAGAAGTGAAGAGAGTGCAGCTCGTAGTCGCGCTGTGCTGCTACGTGAAGCAGCAGCCGAAGAGTGGTCATATTCGTGGTCGGGGCGAAGGTTTGAAAGAAGTCAACACGTTCGCACTGACAGAAGCCTCTAGCCACGTTGCACCTTGAACACCGGCGGCTATCCAAGAGGGTGCTTCACCTTGAAGAGCCATCAGCCATCAACTACGTTCATCCCAAGTGGGGGAACTGTGTCGACGTAGGTGCCGATGGATCTCCAAGATGCGATCTCCGCATCCATGGCAGCTATCCACTGAGATTCCTAGGGTCTCGAAGTCGCCTCAGCGTAGGTGCGAGGGGTCGGGATGTCAAGGGCGTCTCGGTCACCCTCAGGGACTAGCAGCATGGATCAGAGATGAGGAGCGTCCTCGGACAGGAAAGCTAGCTCGTACTGCCTGTCCTGTGGGACATCACTGCCAAGGGCAGGTGCACCCCTGTTGGACGGAGGACGGGCAGGGTTAGAGACCAGAGCAGTGGCGTAGTTAGGGCAGTGGGTAGAGGCAAAGTCAGTAACGGAGGCGAACCCCATAACCAGTGCCACCAGCACACGGCACACCTGCGAATCCCATAACCACCGCCACCAGCACACGGTACACCTGCAAACCCCATAACCACCTCCACCAGCACACAGCACACCTGCGAACCCCATAACCACCTCCACCAGCACACGGCGCTCCTGCGAATCCCATAACCACCTCCACCAGCACACGGTGCACCTGCGAACCCCACAATAACCTCCACCAGCACACGGCGCAACCTGCGAACCCCATAACCACCGCCACCAGCACACGACGCAACCTGCAAACCCCATAACCACCGCCACCAGCACACGGCGCAACCTGTGAACCCCATAACCGCTGCCACCAGCACATGGCGCAACCTGCCAACCCCATAACCACCGCCACCACCAAACGGCACAGTGACATCCTCTCTCTAGCCTCACGAGGCAGTGATGACGACCACTGCTTTGAGACCTCTTAAAACACCACAAGGCACAACAAAACGCACACTTGCCGTCCCCTGAACCAGCAGCAGCACATGATACATTCACATCCACTCTCAAGCCTGATGAGGCACAAATGAAAGCCGCTACTTTAGAGGAAATCCAGACACTGTTCCTCCTAAGAAGACTCGGCCTTTCGGCAGGAGGGGGGCGGGGTTATGGAGGAGGGGGGGGTTATGGAGGGGGGGTAAGTTATGGAGGAGCATGGGTCATGGAAAAGGAAGGAGATCATTGTTGGTGCATATTTGTTTCCACGTCATCCTGTCGCCTGTTCGCATCATCTCGTTTGCATGTGTTTCGTGTGCTATGTTGTTTGTAAGATTTGTTGGGTTTGCATATCTTTGCGTGTTTATCTTGTGCTTGTGCAGATGTGCTTGGATTGTGTACATGATCGAGCACATTCCAACGAGCCAAGAGTTGTTGGAATCAGAGCACATATGAAGAAGTTACGAAGAAAAGTTTGATGGATTTGTTACAACTGATTGGAAGTCCTTGGTAGCTGCTACACCAATGTTGGAGAGCCCTATAACGAGGAGGGACCAGCATGTATGGGAATTTTGTCCTCACCTTGCAGCTGCAGCATTTGGGGTTTGGATTCCAACCTGGCACAGTGTGGATTTTGTCTTGCCAGGCTGGTTGAACCTGAGGATGGGGAGTCAAGAATTTGACCCTTGTCATGTTCTTGACCAAGAGCCTCTAGGTTCCTTCTCTTTCATCCTTCAATTCCTTCCCCATCTTCCAACTGTGCTTCAATGTTTCCATCATGCCTTTGAACTTGTAAGCTTCAATGTTTGTGACTCTGAGGACAATTAGTTTCTCCTAAGGCAGCTTACCCCCCTGTGCGCCAAATGCCGTTGCTCACTCTCTAGGTTACGGAATCGAGTGATTCAACTTGCATTGGAAAGCTGAAAATGCGAGCCAAAACATATCCGAAATTTAATTGCATTTCTCTTTAACCCTAACCCAATGTTCGGAAATAGCTTTCCAAAGGTCGCAAATTTTCTTAGCGTCATAACAAAGTGCTGCAGAAATTTCTAAGGAGTTGTTGAATCATGTGCTAATAGCCATCTCTCACCAAAAGCTGGTATCAGAGCCCATTATCACGCATTTTGGGTCCTAAACTATGTTGGGAGATAGGAGGACTCTGGTGGAGGTGATACTTCAGCCCAAAGAGGCAGCTCAACCCAAGATTCTGGAATTGCAACGCAAAGAGGAGCGCGTACAAGCGAGGGGTCACTGCGTAAGGAGGTGCTGAAAAACTTAACCGTTTAGAAGTTCTCTGGAGATGGCTATGATAATTGGGCATGGAATATACAGCTCTACTTTTGACAAATTGGCCTTTTGAAGATCATGATTGGAACGGAGCCAAGGCCAAAGGAAATGGCAAGTGGACCGGGAGATTTGCAGGGTACTATCTACTTTCACAAAGCTTGGAGTTGAACTAGAGGCATCACATCATGCATCTGCTACTATAAACCGATTGTGGGCCCAAAATCATGGGCAGTGCTCAAGGATCTGCATGCTCTAACATCGGTTGATGCTACCCTCATGTTGGATAGGGTGTTGTATGATGTCATCATATGCCATCACATTCTGTCTGCCTCCCATCCCTTGTTTCAATTCGCATGTATGGTTTGACTACGTGTGAAAGAATTTGTGTGTGGTGTTTTCTGGAGTTTGGGAATTTTTTTTGCGTTATTTTGTTTGAGCAGGTATTTTTGATGATAGATCTTGAGAAGATCTTTCCGACGCAACAAGAATTGCTTCAAACGGAGCAAGAACGTGAAAGCTATGATGATTCAAAGTTCATGAGCTTGCGTTACAATTGTGGTGGTTACAAAGTGAAGTTGTGGGGTGACTCTATATGGAGTTGGGACCTTTGGGGTTGGGGAAATTCGTCACTCTACTGTAGCAGCTGCAAATTGGTTGGGAACAACCAAACTAGGTTGGCAAGGGTGGCCAACTTGGTTGGATTGGTTGGGAAGGGACAAAGGTCAAATTTGGGGTTCCTATAGGGAGGGAATCTTTGTGTTTATGGGGTTTCCTTTGGTTGGGGACTCTCTTGGGACCTTCCCTCTCACCCCTCTCTTTCTATCCCAACCTTTCTCTTGCTCCCCTAATTTCTTGTGAGATTCTTGAACCTTAATTGAAGTTTGAGATTGAGTTAAGTTCTTCTCCTACAGCATACCCCCTTGTGCGTCGAAAGCCATAGCGTTCACAATACTCAACTAATCGATGTGATTAAAATTGGGAATGGTAGCTGACATTACGAGCTAAACTATAGCCGAGTTTCGCGACATTCCAACTGCTATTTGCCCTTCTATTTTTTTTTTTTTTTTTTTTTTCAATTCTAGCTCCTAAGTTCATCTAGACTCCGTTCTTGAATCCTATCAAGTGGTATGAGAGCCATATTGAGGATATTGAGAGGAGTCTACAGAAGTGTGAAGACCCTTCTAGACCCACCATGGCCTGTGGGTGTGCCTAAGTGGTGTTCTAAAGGTTGGATGTGACTTCCGCTAAGGGGAAACTCTGCCGAAATTTCGTGGACGCCGACACTGGTGAAAATATCGAGGGAGCTGAGTGTGGACAGCAAAGGGGAGCTGAAATTCGTCGTTTCTTAAGGAGAAGATGAATGAGAGAGGAGGAGATGCTAATGGAAGAGGAGCTGTACCTAAGAAGACAAGTGAGCCGCCACCATCGAAAGTTGAAGCTTTGGATGGCTCCAACTATGAGGAATGGAGCGGGCGGATGAGGAGTGCCTTCAAACGCTACAAGCTACTGAAGATTTCTGTTTGGGAGGAGAAGATCCCAGAGGAAGGCGAAGCACGCGAACGATGGACTGAGAAAAGCGCGGTGCTTTTCGACCTCATCCTTCAATCGGTCAACAAGGAGATGTTCGAGCACATCAAGGATCTTGTGGAAGCGGATGATTCGGGTCCAAGGGCGTGGAAACTACTACACGATGCGATTCAGCCCAACACTCTCCCGATGGTGATCGTGCTCAAGAAGAAACTTGCTGCCATCTCTATGCGTCCAGGGGACGATGTGAAGCCGGTCCTTGACAAGATCAAAGACACCTATGCAAGGATGGCAGTAGCGGGCAGCAGCGTTTCTCAGCTGCAGCAGTGCACCAAGATCATCTCGGTATTGGACAACTCTTGGGACAACCTCATCCCCACCCTCAACTTTCAGCAAGATATATGGACACCTGAGTGGCTAAGGTAGCAGATTCTGTAGGAGGACTTCCGCAGACGCCATGTGGGAGGCGGTGCTGCCACTAAGACTGCTGAGGGGTATGGAGCTGCAGGGCGCGGCAAAGGAAGAGGGGGTTGGAGAGGCCAAGGCCATGGGAGGAGCTTTGGCAGAGGTAGAGGCTGAGGTGTCTATAATGATGGGCATGGGAGCTCTTGTGGCAGGGGGAGTACCAGAATGGAGGGCACCTGCTGGTACTGCAAGAAGGTCGGGCATCCTTAGTTCAAGTGCTTCAGCAAGCTGGAGGGATGGGCACCCCTAGGCATGAAGCCACCCAGTGGTGAATGCGCACAAGGTGGCGCTGTGCAAGGCTTAGGTGCACAAGGTGAAGGTGCACCAGGTAATGCTTATCCTGGGATGTTTCTCATGGTTGAGGATGTGCATGGGCATGAGGGTGATGTGGGATTTGTGGGAAAGGTTGTGATGCACCCTCTCACGCACTGGGTGATTGATTCAGGTTGCACCAGTCACATGACCCCACGGGCAGATTTCCTTGATGAGGTAAAACCCCCTGGGAATGTTAAGGATGTGGCAGCAGCGTCAGGTGCTTTGCTCCCTGTGATTGGTGTTGGGAATGCCAAGGTTAAGGGAGCTAATGGGGAGGTTGTGGGGCTTGGGAATGTTCTACTGATTGAAGGTTTGTCTGCTAACCTTCTCTCTGTGCGGCGACTGCAGAAGAGCAAGGCCGAAGTGACCTTTGGACCAACCAGCTGTCGTGCTAAGCTTGGGAAGAAGGTGCTGTGGAGTCTGGAAGAGGAGACCAGCTGCATCAAGGACCTGTGGCAGCTGCCCATCATCCCTTAGACTGGGAAGACTTCAACAGCAGCAACGGCAGCAGCGGCAAAGGCAAAAGCAGGAGGAGATGCAACTGCACCAACTGATGGGGTCCTGGAAGCAGTCAAGAAAATGCAGCAGCAGCAGACACATGGCGAGGTGCTTGCTGGTGTGGATGCAACCGCGGCATGGGCTAAAGCTTCATCCAGGAGTGGTGAGGCCGATTGGGAGACATGGCATGAGAGGCTGTGTCATGTGAACTTCCCTATGCTGCAGAAGTTGGTGAAGGATGGGACCCTGAAGCGCATGGAGGTCAAGGGGGGGAATGAAGGAGATTGGGAGCTGCCCTATATGCTTGGAGACCAAGTTCTCCAAGTTCCCCTTCAACAGCACTACAGGACCAGCCAAAACCCCACTTGCACTCGTGCACATGGATGTGGTGGGGCCCACAAGAGCCCCTTCCCTCTCAGGCAGCCGCTATTTCTTGACAATTGTGGATGACCACACTCGAGCAGTATGGGTTTACCCTTTGAAGAGCAAAGGGGAGGTGGCAGCGGCTGTCCTTAAGGAGTGGATGCCTAGAGCTCATAGGGAGTGCGGACACAAGGTGAAGGTGATCCACACTGACAATGGTGGGGAGTTCATTGGAGCTGATTTTGAGGGGGATTTGAAGAGGAAGGGGATCCAACATCAACTGACAGTGCCCTACAACCTGCAGCAGAATGGCGTGGCTGAGAGGTTCAACAGGACCCTGCAGGAGGGGGCACGCACTCGCCTTAGGCGTGCAGGGCTACCTGATCCATTTTGGGTGTCTGCACTGAGGCAGGTCGCCCTTGTGAAGAATAGGGTGCTGGCTACATTTGGGGATAAGGAGTGGATCCCATATACCAAGTGGTATGGGAGTGCTCCAGCTGTGAACATGCTGAGGGCATTTGGGTGCATGGGGGTGTTTCATGTGCCTAAGGAGAAAAGGGGGAAGTTGGAGGCTTCTGGAAGATGGGGTGTGCACTTGGAGATTACAAAGGATCACAAGGGGTGGCTGCTATGGGACTTGACCACCCAAAAGTTGACTGTGTCAAGGGATGTGAACTTCCTTGAATCCCTGTACTACAAGGAATGGAAGCAGCAGCAACAGAAGCTTCCATCTACACTGCTAATTGTGGAGGCAGATGAGGTGCAGAGGCCCTCAAGACATGCGGAGGGTGTAGTGTCTGAGGAGGAGATGTCTGGGGTGATCGAGGAAGGGGGAGCATCTGAGGTAGAGGAGCAGCACCAGCAGCATGAGTCTCCACCTCGAGTTCCACACCCGCCTGAGCGTCCTAGGAGGGATGTGCGCCCTCCTGTGAGGCTGACCTATGGGGGAAGAGGCAAGCCAAATGCGGTGCAGGCTGGGAGTATGGTTGAGCAGATTGAGGAAGATGAGATTGCATTGTGTTATCGGGCTGCAATTCCTCAGCCCAACGTGCTGACGCTAGCTTCAACTCAGTGAAAGCGGATGGCACCAGTATTGGGGGTTATGTGTGCTTGCTGGGAGGTGGTGCTGTGAGCTGGCGCAGCAAGAAGCAGAATGAGGTGGGATTGTCCTCATGTGAGACTAAATACATGGCCTTACACCATGGGACCAAGGAAGTGGTGTGGCTGAGGCGCTTGTTGGAGGAGTTGGGAGTTGGTCAGGAGGAGCCGACAGTTGTGTTTTGTGACAATGAGTCTGCTGTGGAGCTCGCCAAGAATGCTTGTCTGCATGGGCTAACAAAACACATAAGGCCTAAGTGGCATTGGATGAGGAGACTCCTTGATAAGGAGGTGCGGCTGGAGATAGTGAAGACCCATCAGCAGGCAGCAGATATTTTCACTAAGCGTTTGGCGGAGGCGGATCATTGGAAGGGCATGAAGCTTGCTGGGATGAGTGTGCATTGAGCATGCATGCTTGAGATGTGGTATGGTGCACAATGGTTCGAAGCCATAGGGGGAGATTGTTGTATGATGTCATCATATGCCATCACATTCTGTCTGCCTCCCATCCCTTGTTTCAATTCGCATGTATGGTTTGACTACGTGTGAAAGAATTTGTGTGTGGTGTTTTCTGGAGTTTGGGAATGTGTTTTGTGTTATTTTGTTTGATGATATTTTTTGAGTATTGTGAACGCTATGGCTTTCGACGCACAAGGGGGTATGCTGTAGGTATTTTTGATGATAGATCTTGAGAAGATCTTTCCGACGCAACAAGAATTGCTTCAAACGGAGCAAGAACGTGAAAGCTATGAAGATTCAAAGTTCATGAGCTTGCGATACAATTGTGGCGGTTACAAAGTGAAGTTGTGGGGTGACTCTATATGGAGTTGGGACCTTTGGGGTTGGGGAAATTCGTCACTCTACTGTAGCAGCTGCAAATTGGTTGGGAACAACCAATCTAGGTTGGCAAGGGTGGCCAACTTGGTTGGATTGGTTGGGAAGGGACAAAGGTCAAATTTGGGGTTCCTATAGGGAGGGAATCTTTGTGTTTATGGGGTTTCCTTTGGTTGGGGACTCTCTTGGGACCTTCCCTCTCATCCCTCTCTTTCTATCCCAACCTTTCTCTTGCTCCCTTAATTTCTTGTGAGATTCTTGAACCTTAATTGAAGTTTGAGATTGAGTTAAGTTCTTCTCCTACTGCATACCCCCTTGTGCGTCGAAAGCCATAGCGTTCACAATACTCAACTAATCGATGTGATTCAAATTGAGAACGGTAGCTGACATTACGAGCTACAACATACCGAGTTTCGCGACATTTCAACGGCTATTTGTCCGTCGACGACATTTTGTGTGGAGACATGTTTTCTGTCCAGAATTTCGGATTTCTATTTTTGAGCAATTCTAGCTCCTAAGTTCATCTAGACTCCGTCCTTGAATCCTAACATAGGGAGCTGTCCACGCTGTGGTTGAGAGAGAATGAACATGTGCAGCCTGTATTGGGTAAGACGAGGGAGCTTTATGCGAAACTGGCGATCGTGGGCACAACGTACCCTGAACAGACCAAGTGTTTCAAGATGCTCAGCCTGCTGCCCGAGTCTTGGCTGCAATTTACAAGCGGACTCAAATTGCCACATAACCAAAGTCAGTGGACATTGGAGTGGATCCACACCAAGATTCAGGAAGAAGATTTCTGTCGCTGTCAACTACGCGGGGGTGATGATAGCGCCAGCGGCTATGCCATGCAAGGGACATGGAGGGGTCGAGGGCGTGGCAATCGCGGTCGCTCTTACAACAACCAAGGTGGTCGCGGGACTTGGAACCACCGAGGTTGTGGTGGAGCTCGTGCAAGAGGAAGGGGTGGCAGATCTGAAAGAGGTGGTCGCTCCAACAATGACAACAGTGAACTGCGCTTGAAGGGAGACTGCTGGTATTGCAAGTCATTGCTCTACCAAGCCCGACTGGTGGAGTCCTTGGAACCAGTCACAAAAGGAAAATGGAGGAAAGCAGTTGTGTGGAGGTGCCAACATGGTAGTTGATCTTGCTGACGAATCCTCCAAGGGTGACGGAGGAAAGGGAAATGAGGAGAGGGAAGCTGGACAGTTCTACCATGTGTGTAACAAAGGTGATCGTGACACCGTTGTTGCAAAGATTGGAGAGGAACTGCACCGGCTTGATATGCGGGTCATGGATTCTGGTGCTGCATGGACAATGACAACACGCAAGGACTTGCTGGATGATGTCCGAGAGTTTCCGATCTCCGAAGTGCGCTCCGCATGTGGACATGCAGTGAACGTCGCTGGAGTTGGTCGAGCCGCATTAAGAGCACCCGATGGTGGACTGGTTGCGCTGAAGGACAGTACTCATACTGGGGCTTAAGGCCAACCTGATATCACTGTGCAAGCTAGGCCAGGCCATAGTTAGCACAAACACCAATGGATCTAAGACCATGAGGCTGCATGGAGATTGTGTGCTATGGGATTTACACGAAAGCAAAGATGTCTTCTGATCTATGTGGCAGATCCCTGTATTGATATGAGAGTCAACAAAGAAGCCGAAAGGGATAGGAGCGGCAAAGGCGGGATCTGGAGTCCATGGGGGGGGCAATGCAATCAATGCAGCAGGAGTGACAATTTCGGCAAGGTCGAGGGAGACTGATTGGGAAATCGCACACAGGCGTCTAGGGCATTTGGCTATGCCATTGCTGCAGCAACTGCATAAGGAAGAAGCAGTAAAGGGGCTGAAGATTTCTCGGCAACCACATGATACCAAGTGCGAGACGTATCTGCTGAGCAAGTTCACACGGTTCCCCTTTCATGGCATGACTGGGAAGAGCAAGAAAGCACTGGAACTAGTACATATGGACCTGGTAGGACCTTTTCCACTTCGAGGAAGTAAGGGGGAAAGGTACTCCCTAACCCTGAGTTGATGAGTGGAGTCGGCTCATGTGGGCATGCCCGTTGAAGCAGAACGATCATGCTGCCTCAACAATACGAGATAATTGGCTGCCGTTCGTCGAGCGACAATCTGGGCGTGCGTGCAAGAGTATCAAAACCGATGGAGACGTAGAGTTTCTGGGAGAAGATCCAACTGCGTGGCTCAAGAAACATCAGCATTGAGCATCAGCTAATGACATCCTAAACCCCTCAGTCAAATGGCGTTGCTGAGAGGGCTAATAGGACCATCCTTGAAACTGTCCGAGCACTGCTGATTGAATCAGGTCTTGGAAACTCCATGTGGCCTCATGCGGTAAGGCAGGCTACTGTTGGTGCAACCCTATGGCTTGAACTCGGCTTGTCGTCCTTGTTTGTGTGTGTGCATGCATGGCATGGAATGACTTGTAAGTCTATGTCATTGCTATCTAGTGCTTGTGTGCGCGTTTGAATAGTGTATCACAATGTGGTTTGTGTCGATCAAGACATTAAAGACTTTTCACAGCTCGCATGTGAAGTCGTCGTTTGCGTATCGCATGTGTTTTTCTATTTTGTCAAGTGTGAAGTGTCCATCGCATTGCAGGTGTGTGCAGAAAGCCTTCTTCAACTCAAGAAGAATTTATCTTGTAGAATCAAGACCAAGAGCTCAAGATTTCAAGCCCAAGGGAAGTGGATAAATATTGAAATAGTGAAAATAGTAATGCTACTTCATGTAGTGTTACATTTCACTTGGTCCAGCCCCTTGTTGAGTTTGTTTCGAGTCCCTTCGTGGTTGGGGACTCTGTGGTGGTGTACCACCACCCTGCACCTCGGCTCTTGGGGCTTGTAGAGGCTGAGAACTATCTCAATCTCGATTCTTCTTGCTAAGGTTGCACTTCTAAGACTATAGTGGCTACTTTACCTCCTTCCAGTCAAACCGCCATAGCGTCGTTAAATCGTCATGGAATTTCATGATTCAACTTGCTGCTCATACGCAACAGCAACGCGCTCTAGATCCAACTTACAGATCACCGTTTGACTCAGCGACCGGATCGGTATCAATATTTGAAGCTGACTGACGAAAATCCGACTGTGCTCTCTATCTCTCATTTTAGGCACATCTGAGCCTATTGTGTTTATAACAAGTGGTATCAGAGCCCCTTGGAGCCATTTAGACCATGCCTAGATCTGGAGAAGGGGGTTGCAGAGGTGCTGGAGGCAGAGAAGATGCACAAGAACAAGGCCAACACAAAGATCCACCCATTGCTCCCGTGCAACCTAGCTTTGGCCCCTCTAGGGATGAGCCTAGAGTGTTTGGCCTTGACAAGTTCAATGGTGACAGCTTTGCTGAGTGGTCCTTCAAGATGGAGAACATCTTTGACCACTATGATCTGCTGGAGGTGATGGAAGGAATGGAGAAGCGCCCTGAGAATGACCCGGAGAAGAGCCCGTGGGTGCGGAAGAGCGCACAAGGCTATCTTCTACTTGGGCAAGCGTTGGGGAGCAGCCAAATCCGTCACATCAAGCCTTTTCAGCGTGAACCAGCAAAGGAACCAAAGGCATGGGCTGCTTTCAAGGGTGTACAAGCTCCTGCAACAGCGGCGGTGGCTGTGGTTTTGGAGCGGCAAATGGTGGCACTTCGAATAGACGAAGGTGAACCGGTGGAGGAAGGAGTGCAGAAATTCTTCGACTTGTTGACACGGCTCGAAGGAGCTGACCTAAACTACAGTGACCCTCAAAAGAAGACCAAGCTGTTGGCCTTTCTTCCGGACTCATGGTCCTCGCTCATCATCAACCAAAATCGAGATCTGCCCTGCCTCTCGCTCGAAGATGTGAAGCGGGAAATCTTACAAGAAGATTTCCGCCGTCGCGAATTGGCGGGTCCCGATGGTGCCGGGGTTGCAAGCAAGGGCCGTGGGCATGGCCGTGGAAGGGGCAGAGAGCGAGGAGGCAGATTTGGTAGCAGTAACTTCAATGGAGGCCGTGGTATTGGAGGATATGGCAGCAACAAGAACAACAATGGCTACGGGCGTGGGCGCGGTCGATTTGATAGCGAATGCCACTTTTGTCACAAGACCGGCCACATGTGGAGAGATTGCTTCAGATTGCCTGATGGATGGACCCCTTCTCAAAGCCAAGAGGGCAGAGGAGCAAGGGGAGGAAGAGGCAGTGGTCGTGGAGGCCGTGGTGGTCGTGGAAGCGAAGCTGCAAGCATGAAAGGTGGAGACTACGAGACGGGCCCGAGTGAAGATCGATACCCGGGCCAATTCTTCTTTGTCTCCACGCAAGCGGCAGCTGCAGCAGGAGGTGTGTGTGCATGCATGGCATGGAATGACTTGTGAGTCTATGTCATTTCTATCTAGTGCTTGTGTGTGCGTTTGAATGGTGTATCACAATGTGGTTTGTGTCGGTCAAGACATTAGCGACTTTTCACAACTCGCATGTCAAGTCGTCGTTTGCGTGTCGCATGTGTGTTTTTAATTTGTCAAGTGTAAAGTGTCCATCGCATCGCAGGTGTGTGCAGCAAGCCTTCATCAACTCAAGAAGAATTTATCTTGCAGAATCAAGACCAAGAGCTCAAGAT